CTTGTGGCGTTTTTGGGGGTCTTCCTTGTAAATTATCATATCATCTGCCAATAGTGATAGTTTTACTTCTTCCTTTCCTATTCTTATTCCTTCTATTTCTCTTTCCTGTCTTATTGCTCTGGCTAGTGGTTCCAGAACTATATTGAACAGGAGTGGTGACAGCGGACATCGGTGTCTTGTTCCCAATTTTAAAGTAAAACCTTTCAGTTTTTGTCCATTGAGAATGATGTTGTCTTCTGCCACTTTTTCTAAAATCAAACATAAGCTATTTTTTTCTTATTTAGTGGATAAATATCTTCATTTGTCTTTGTAGCTGCTACTTCTCTGGGATTTCTCTTCTACTGTCAAACATTCAAATATGTGACATATTCTTTAATTTATCCTGCAGTCACCCTAGAGATAACTTGCCTAAATTCAGGGTCCATATAATCTTCATTCACTTTGAAGTCTTGTTCATGCTTGAAGTTTGTGATCACCTCCTTGTTCTTTAAACTTCTTCCTTTCTTGAACTTCGTGTTATCACCAGTCCTTGATATTCTACCTTTAAACTATTCCTTTGCTGGATCTATTACTTTTATATTAGCTTAGTATGTCATATATTGATGTGCTCAGTAAACTTCCTTGGACTTTTAAACCTGTGTCTGATCACTTTCAAATGTCTGAACTCTGATTGGCCAAAAGTATCATGTCAGTGGCAGTACATGGACACTTCTTTCAGCATATTTTTTTGAAGACCCACTATGTGCTAGGAATTTACAGGCACTGGAGAAGGCTCAAAGTTACATAAAGCATAACTTATGCCATGTAGAAGTTTATAGTCCATAAGAAGAGAGGATTGACTGATCATATAAGTGATTATCAAAGAAATTATAAATTAAAAACTGCTTTTGAAATTTTTGTTTTTTCAATTAAATTATCTTTTTTAATGAAAATTTTATGTAAAATCCCAATATCTAACAAAAACAGAGTTGTTCTATCAATCTAGCTTTTGTAGCCTTTCCAAATAGATCTCTGTCCTATATACTTACTTTCTAATCCAAAGGCAATTCCAATCCATAGACAATTCTGATGAATATTAGGACTCTGCAAATTAGAGAATAAGCTCTCAGTCATCAAAGGTACAAAAACAAAGAGCATGGAGGGCTCAAGGAAGGAAAATATTTTATAGTCTACTTAATACTTTACTATAATTTTTGTTACTTAGGGCTATCTGTGTCACTAGACTATGAGTCTTTAAGGACAAGACTAATTTAGGCAGGGTAACTACACTCAAATAATCTGGCAGCAAAGCACACATAAGATAAAAATAAGGAGAGAGAGAGAAATTTATGAGACCATTCCAACAGCTCAGCTAAAAAGTAGATACCCTAAATTTAAGTATAGCAGAGGTAATGGGAACCCACAGAGGTTTTGAAGGTACAACTGCTATAAGAAATTATTGAGTATAATGTAGGAAAAGTGGAATCCAAGATACATTTGATGACTTAATCCTTAGTAGAAAACATATGGTGCCTTTGCCTAAAACTAAATTAGAGTCAAGAGGAAGAATTGTTTGGGATAAAATTAAAGTTTTAGTGTACAAAACTAATTAAAACTGACAAATTTGTAAGTCAGTTGAAAGTACAGAGACTGGTAGAGCTTAAGAGCAGATAAATGCTGGGGTCACTGGCTCTTTGCTTTAGCTGTAATTAGAATCACTTGAAAATCTTAAAAATCAACACAAGCTTTACAACAGACCAATGAAATACTTGTCAGTTTGATTAAGGATCACATCATTTTCAGTTATCTGGGCATGTAAACTTGAAGTTATCTAGGACATTAACTTTTCTTTCATAATTTCTGAAATCATCAGTCTCTGTAACTTTACTGAAATTAATTCTTTTTCAATATATACTGGACTATTACAACTCTCCTCAACTTCACTCTATATAATCCTTTCCTGTTACATTCTGTCATCATATTACATCACTACTCTAAATCTTAATGGTACCATTTTGCCCATGAGATGATTTTATAAATCTGTAAGCATCCAAAGCTCTATACCACTGTAGTGAACCTATGGCATGTGTGCCACAGTGGGCATGCAGAGCCCTCCCTGTTGGCATGCCAGCCAAGTTGCCTCAGCAGCTGAGCATTGGATAACAGTTGTTTTTTTCTCAACTAAACACCTCAGTATTCAGGTTTAATTGCAATAAGTAAGTAGTTTTTAGATTACAGTTTGAGCACTTGCTCTCTAAAAGGTTTGCCATGCACCTCTGTACAAATCTGATTTCAAATTGTCTTTATCCTCTTTAATGTCAGCCCTGGGAAAGTCAGCAGTGCTTTTCAGATTTAGAGTCCCTACAGAAGTCTTAGTTACTTCTAAAGTTTGCTCACTGTGTTATGTCCAGATGGGAGGCAGGAAGGGCCTACCTTTCACATAAGAAAACAGGTTCCGTTGGATTGTGGAGAGTGCTAACCTCTGTGACTAAAGTCTGGGTTAATGCTACAATTTCTACTTACTTGGCATTTATATTTCCCTGGAATTAGTGTATAGCATACTATGTGCATGATGTTAGTTGGACTTAACTGTGGGTATCAAGTGGAAGTATTTAGTTGAGAGTTTTGTGCTACTTTTGGGTGCCCCTGATGTTGAACATGGATTCACTGGAGGTCAGAAGAGAGTTTTATACAATGTGACTAAAAAGGACAATATTACAGAGGATCAGGGCAAATAAGGACTCTGGTTATCAGTAGCTCAGAGGAATTTCTGTGATACTACCTGGGGGTAGAATCACAGGCAAGTACAGTAGAGATGACAAATTAAACACTGTCATAGCTTTGTGCTATCACTCAGAGGACTCTTTGGGACAACTTGTTAGTATCTATAAAAGGGTAAACAGAGTTATTTATGCTGTAGTTATCCTCACACTTTCTTTGGTCAGGCATGTTGATATCCAGGCAAAGTCCATCATCTTCTGGGACGATCCATATATCAATCTTTTTTTTTTCTGGAACAATAAGTTCTATATGAAACCAGGAATTGGCATTTTCTTACCAAAGATGTTCTCTAGATGGGATATACCATAAGGATATAAGGACTGCAACAAAATCTTCCACTTGCAGAGTAGGCATACAACAAAAATTTAGAACTGTTTAAAAGTATCAAAGTTGCCCTTTCTATAGGTGTAGCTAGCAAGAGTCATCAGGAAAACATGTGAGCATACAAATTTATTTCCATTCATCAATTTCTAACAAGAAAAACCTCTTCCAGGTACCTGGTGAAACCATGACAAGTACCCTAAACAGGAGCAAAATCAGACTGGAAAGGAACAATCTTAATTACACAACTAATAAGAATTTAGTCTTATATACAGTAATATCAAGATGTCTACTTGGGCTGGGTCACAGCAGTACTGTCAACATGGAGACAGGGAAACTAGAAGACATTTCTGAGGTTGAGCTTAATAGGGAAGGGCCCCTGAGCACCAGGAGGAGACTATATGTGGACGAACCTCTGCTTGACCTGAATTCCAAATGCCAGTGGTTTTGTATTTGTTACATTCTTTATCTGTGCTTCACTTAAGAGTTTAATAAAATCTGTTTGAAAGTTTTGGCCTGCTTCATCTCCACTAAGGGCAGCCAAAGGAAAATTGCCATTTGAATTGAGAATGACAGACCACCAAGGTCCACTGACATCATTAGGTGAACTAGGAGAATTCAAAGTGATTCTCACAAAAAAGACATAGTCTAATTCCAGTAACAACCTTGCTACTTTTAGAGTTTTTTTCTTTTGGGAAGTGATAATTTCTTTATCATTATGCACTTTTAGTTATTGTCAGGGAAAGTAAGTGAACAACACTTCCTGTTTTATTTCTTACTTTTCTTCCTCTTCTCTAGTTTGTTTCCAAAATGTTTACTAATACTCATTGGCACATGTCAGAGAAGGAGGGACTGAAAAGAACTGGGGAGGTAGGAGATAGAAAACTATGTAAAATTAAAGAATTTTTGTACTAAATATGCTGTATACACTTTAAAACTTTTAAAAATAACTTTACATTATAATTAGATATGACTTTTAAGTAAGCAATTGAATATAAAAATTAGATGAGCATGATTATTAAAATTATCATCAGCTCCATATATTTTATTGGATATAATTAAGAAATTATTAGCTACAAACTAGTAAAAAAAATATGACAGCAGTTTTGGGATTTTATTTCTTAGGAAAAATCAAACACAAGTATTAGTATTCCCTTACAAATGACTTGTATAAAATAAAGTAACTTATGAGCACAGATATGTGAAGAGAATAATTGTGAATGTTCTCACATGTGCCTAATGGAGGTGAAGTAAGGTGGTCTCAGGGCAAATATGCAGAAACACATAAAGGTCATAAGAGGTGTAAGAAGTTTTTTCTAACTGCTTTTAAGATTTTTTTACCATCAATTTTGAGCATTTTGATTATGATGTATTTTGGTGTTGTTAACTTCATATTTCTTTTGCTTGGAATATGTTGAGATTTTTGGCTCACTTTTCAGCCATTATATTTTCAAATTAATGTCCTCGCATAATTCTATCTTGTCAGTTTGGGGTTCATTTCAATTGATTCTTCTAATTCCATGTCATGTTTTCCTGCTTATTTGCATACCTACTAATTTTGATTACATGTCAAACATTGAATATTTTACCTTTTGGGTAATGGATATTTTTAAATTCCTATGTATTCCTCAGCTTTTCTTAACTGTGACAGAGTTGAGTTACTTAGAAAATGTTTGATATCTTCAAGTCTTGTCATTTAGACTTTGTTGAATTAGAGAAGTGCTCAGTCTAGGGCTAATTATCCCCTACCACTGAAGGAAGATCAGTTAGAGAATACTGCTTAAGGCTTGTGAATCTTAAGGTTTCCCCAGTTTAACTGGTAGGAACAAGCACTGTTCTCAGCCGGTGTGGCCACCTAGCACTGTCACATTCAACCTTTTTTTCATAATTTTTCAAGCTGCCCTCAAGTAGGTCACTCACACATATGTGTGGATCATTGTTCAGCTGAGACCTCTGTAAAGGAAATGAACAGAATGATATTTTAAGGTCAAGGGGAGGGGAACCCTATTTTAGATAAAGTGATCAGAAAAAACCTTCAAAAACTGACACTTGAGCTGAGACATGGAGTCAGTGAACAAAGCAGTATTCCTGGCAGAGGAAGCAGCAAATGCAAAATTTTCCCTGAGAAAGGAAAGAACCTAGCATGTCTAAGAAGCTGAAAAGGAGTAGAAAGCAGGAACAAACAGTCAATGACAGAGTGGGGCAGAAGTTGTAGAAGTTCTAAATAATTAGATAATGCAATTGTTACAGACCTTAATTCAGAGTCTGGGTCTCCTGAATTACAGAAAAATATATAGTATTCCATTTCTGTAATCAGTCAAAATTATAGCCAAAGGTAGTATATATAAGATTTTTGGAAGGATGCATAGAGGTGATTACCTTAATTACTTCTGAAGAATAGAAATAGAGACTGAGGGAGTAGGTTAAAAAGGGCTTACTTTATACCTTTCATTACTGAGTATACTTTTAAGAGTTCTTATGAATTACTTTTAAAACAATGAGCAAAAATATGAATTAGAAATTCACAAAAGAGAAATACCAGTAAACATATAAAAAGATATGCGGCCTTACTAGTGATCAGAAATAACACAATTTAGATTTTCACTTCTTAGATATTGGCAAAGACAAAAAAATTAATAATATCCAGTTTTGTTGAGGGTATAGACAGATGTTCTCATGTTCTTCTAGTAAGAGTATTTAAATTCAAACTTTTTAGAGGGTAATTTGACAATAGGACTTAATAAGTTTTTTTTTTTTAGTAATTTATCCCAAGAAGGTAAATCAGTTGGAATAAAGGCCAAAAATGCCTGCATAAGGTCATTCATTATTTACAGTGTTGTCCATAATAGTGAATAACTAGACCCTGTTAATTCATGTCTATCAGGTGGAGATTAATTATTCAAATATGACATTGTCCATGGAATACTCTGTAACTATTAAAATTTATGATGTAGTTATATATTTACTGACACTTCAAAATGTTTACAGAGAATTACTAGGTAAAACAGGTAAGTTAGACGGTTATGTGATAGTAACATTTTCTTTTTGAATTATATAGGCTGAGGCTGGCGATAGAGCTCAGTGGCATAAGTGCCTGCCTGGCAAGCACAAGGTCGTGAGCTCAATCCCTGGTATGGAAAAAAAAAAGGAATTATATGGGCTTAGGTGCAAAAAGAACTGGAAGTTTTATATAAAGTTATTAACAGTAATTTTTGCTCTGTAGTAGAATTTTTAGTATCTTTATATTTTAAATTTTATAATGATCATGCTTTAATTTCCTAATGTGTGAAAAATAATCTATAAAAAATAAATATGAGGAGTATTAGATACTATTTATTTAAACATGCATGTAATTTGATAAGTAATAAAAATTAAGTATTGGTTTGATCTGGAATAACTGATTTTCATAACACTCTTCAATTTTGTAGGACTAGAAGAAATTGCAAAAGAAAGAGAAAAACTTAAAAATGCGGAAAGTATCAAGATCAAAGAAGAAATATTTGAGACTTCTAGGGACCCTTTAAATTGTTCAAATACAGATCACTGTGAGCAAAAGGAAGATCTTAAAGAAAAAGATAACACAAACCTCTTTCTTCAGAAACCTGGCTCTTTTTCCAAATTAAGCAAGCTTTTGGAAGTAGCTAAGATGTCTCCCGAGTCAGATGTTATGACCTCCAAACCAAATGTCAGTGCAAATGGGTGCACATTGTCTTATCAAAACAATGGGAAACATTCGGTGGGCAGCATTCCATCAACAGCAACACAAAACAACGTGGAAAAGACAGACTCCAATCTGTTTAACACAGGTTCAGGTGTTCCAGGGAAGTTCTACAGTCCTCTCCCCAATGACCAGTTATTAAAAACACTGACTGAAAAGAACAGACAGTGGTTTAGCCTTTTGCCAAGAACACCTTGTGATGATACTTCACTTACCTATGCTGATATGTCAACTGCTTCTCTAGTGACTCCTCAGTCTCAGCCGCCATCCAAGTCACCTTCACCTGCCCCAGCTCCTCTTCTAGGATCATCTTCTGCTCAGAATCCTGTCAGCCTAAGTCCATTTGCTTTATCATCTCTTCAGGTTAGTACTGCTAACTAAAACACATTGTAATATTACTTCATTTAATCTTTGACCCTGTGAAGATTTTCACTCAAGGAGAATCATTTGAATAGTTATAGTATCCCTACCACAATCCGAAAACTGCTTTGTTAGAACTATTAATTTCTAACATATATGCCCAAGACTGCTTTGATTACTTTTTTACTTACAATTATTTCAATGTATCAAAAAATAAAATTACTTTGCAGGGCAAATAAGAACATGGAATTTAACATTATTTAGTTTTCCTTTAATTGTGGTAAAGATTCTTTTTTCCAAATTTAAAAATAATTTCAACATTTTCCCTAACTTCTTAGATTAATCTATTTTTAAAATGTTTTGTTTTTACAGATGAAAAGTGGAGTATCTATGATGGGACTTCAGTTTTGTGGGTGGCCCACTGGTGTGCTTACTTCTAATATTCCATTTACATCACCTTTACCTAGTCTGGGATCAGGGTTGGGACTATCAGAAGGAAACGGTAATTCACTCTTGACTTCCAATGTTGCTTCAATTAAAAGTGAATCTCCAGTACCTCCAAATGAAAAGGTCTCTTCAACTCAACCTGCACCCCTTGAAGTGGCAAAACCAGTAGATTTTCCCAATCCAAAACCTATTCCAGAAGGTAGGTGCATTGAGATGGTTTATAGTCACTTACTATATTTCATTAGTATGGGCCCTATGTGATAACTGAATCTCTGATGATTTTCTAGTTAGTTAATAAATCTTTAGGCTTACTTTATCCTATTATTTCCTATTCAAAACATTTGTAAATGATCTACGTATTTATCTT